GGTCACAGTAGCGGGGCTATAGTAGCGGGTTTTTTAACAGTAAATGTGCCCCCTACTACCAGGAGAAATGTCTTATTTTAACACCACTCAAACGTTAAAATCCCCGCTATTCCCCGGGGTTCGGGGGGCGGGGGTGTCAATTGACTAGTGCATTATCTCAGCCTAATCTCGAATTATTTAGGGCTCCGAATCTTAAATATTAAAATCTAAAATTGAAGCTATATCGTCAGAAAAATAGCATTTTAAAGACTTTTTGAGCAATAGGCATCTCATTTAGGAATCTAAATCAAACAAAGTCAAGAAATAGAGTATTCAAAGACTAGCGGAAAATTATATTCTATAAAGTAAATGTGAGCAAAAGTAAAGCGAAAGCGGGCTGTTAAACTGGCCCAAAACTTGTGATTAAACTAATAGGAAACCATTATGTATATACGAATTAGCTTGAGTTGATATTTCTTTAGAATTTATTTTTTATTCGCATAATACTAGTCGATTGAGTTTTCAATCACACACAACGCCGTGACCCTCCAAGATTTGATGTTAATGAAGTTTACTTTCCTCCTAACAACTAAAGCAGCCGATTTCGATTATCTCCAAATACTTCTAGAGTAGTTTTTCTGGCAAAAATGTATATAAAACACATTTTATACTACCGTAACATAGGTCAGGTAGCGGGCATAAGTCCCAAGACGATAGGCGGATCTGCGAGAAATTCAGGGCATTTACAGATGATATTCCATGGTCCAATGAAGCAGTAGTGCTTACTCGACATAATCGTTATGTTTAAAAGCTTCTAGTACGAATATATTGAAGATATTTCTTGATGAAATCAGTGGTTTTTTGGTGTGTTTGTATGGCGTGTTTGGGTTCAATGTCTGAGTCCATAGGGGGTCGCATATTAATGTATCTATTTTAGTAACTGTGCGTAGCGCTATTAGTAAGAGAAAAAGGCTGTTTTTATAAAAAAATTAGCCTGAGTATCAGGCTCTCTCGAAGGGGTTTRGGGCGGAGCRARAAAGGAGAGAGAGCCTGACACAATCTTCTATCGAGAGCCGTTCCGCCTCCTTGCAATGCGTGACGCGTGACAATAAATTTAAGCCAATTAAAAGCTGTTCCGGTTTGCTTGATTTCTCGATGTGGCGGTTATATGTCAAAATTTATTTGAAAAGTCGCAGCTTTTATGCCGATTTTTACCAGATTCTCAACTTGTGGACGTCTAATAAACTCTAGAGGATTGAATTGTTTTACTCTGTTATAGGTCGGTGTAATGTTAGTGTTATATGAGACGTTTCCGTTAATCGGTTTGTTTTTGTACRCGTAAAAACAAACCGATTCAAGAACGGCTTGATAACGTAGTAAAAAAAAGAATAAAAGACAGGCCTCTGCAACCAGGTTACTATTAAAGCTTTCCCAAACTGTTATTCACTTATATCAAGAGTCATAGCGTCGTTCGGTAACATAATAATTATATATATTTTAATTCCTGTCACTTCCTTTGTCCTCTAGACCAATCAGCGTTTCGGCCATGAAACGGCCGCCGAACACGGCTCTCGATAGAAGATTGTGTCAGGCTCTCTCTCCTTTCTCGCTCCGCCCCAAACCCCTTCGAGAGAGCCTGATACTCAGGCTATAAAAAAATCGAAAACGAGGACGTCCTTACCTTAACATTTTTAAGGTTGACTATGGTGTTATTCATCTTCTTGGTTGCATCTTGATGTTGCTCTTTGGGGAGCTGTACAATGTTTGTAGCTTCTAAAAGAGAAACTAATGTTATACTCATCTATATTTAAGTCTTTGAAAGTCTTCAACCATACTATGGTCGAGAATCAAAAGTGTGTTATGAAATAATCGACTAATCTTGGTAACAAAAAAGGTAACACCTTCTAAGACCCCGAGCAGGGGTCAGTAAATTGGGTTCGAATCCAAACGCAGTGGACCAAATCAGTTCTGCATAATGACAATTGTTGTACTGCACTTACTATCTGCTTTGGAAAAGTGTCTAGTCAGGATTTCCATAGCATCACCTGAACGACCAATGTTCTCACACGTTGTAATTAATTCATCCATGGTTAGATCTGGTTTATTACTTGTCAGCCATTCTATGACTTGCTTTGTTGGGCTATGGATGTCGTGCTCATGTGGAGGGTCAAGCTTGGATATGATGTCGCGGTCAGATAGGTAGCCGTCCCGTAATAGACGATTTGCAAGGCCTTTCCAGCCTTCAAGATGTAGAGAATCATCATTTAGCATCTTGGAAATTGTGTTAAGAAGCTCTGATCCAATTATTAAAATGTCTCGGGCATCTGTAGCACTTTTATCTGTTATACGTCAGAAATCAATCAATTATGTTATGTTTAGTCATTGAGAGAGAAATAGAGTAACAATATAATATGGGCATGCGGAGATCCAGGTTTTTATTTGAAGTATTCAATGTTCAGTTAATATCTCATGAGGGAGCAAAATTCAAATTAATATATTTAAGGCAAAAATAAAACAATACGGGGTATCCATGGTAATGTGTTAGTTTCAGGCGCTAAATTTTCACATACGAGAGATATCATTTTTCTCTAAGCGTTAGAGACTTTTCTGGTATTTCATGAAAATTTTGTCTAATAAAACACATTACCTATTGACTGTGTAGTACTTTCCATTTCCTTTAGGATGTCGTTTCTTTCCATCTTCTCCAGGTATCCAACAATCACATTTAGCTTAACTTTTTTTGTGCTGGTTGCATAAAGAACCCGAAATAGATCTTCAGTTGGATTGTAGTTGTTGCACATCTTAATTTCCTTCAGTTTGTCTCGGTTTATCTTAAGTGCAAGACCAAGGGCTTCCCGATTATAATTTGAAGCTGAATCAAGCTCTAAGGCCAACTTATCCAAGATATCAATTATAGAGTTGGTTATGGTTTCAGACACCTTGCATTGATTGGACAATTCATAATCAACTGAAAAAAACAACGTTTGCAGTTTCAGATACCTTGCATTGATTGGACAATTCGTAATCAACTGAAAAAAACAACGTTTGCAATTACATAGATGGAAACTACTCTCTCTTGGTGTTTAGACATGCAGTTTTGATATGAGATATAATTAATGGCTACATGAATGTCTATGAAAAATGCCAAAGTGCTCAAAATTGAATAAACTTATCTATGTGGCTTTATTAATCATTGAGCAACATGTTTTGAATATTTTTCTTAAATTTTGAAATATTCTTTAAAAAAAATACTAAAAATAAAATAATAAAATAAAATACTTTTGCAAAATAAAATAAAATACTTTTGCATATATTTTTATAGTCGATGACCTCATAGACTTGAACCAATTGTTCTTGGTATCTTTCGAACAAAAAAGTTTTGAATGTAGGTGATTGACTCCAAAGCAAAACTTTTCAAAATCAAGTTTCTAATATGTAAAAATAAGACATGTTTTCAAGAATTTTTCAACTTTCAAGAATGTTGTGTTTTCTTAGTCATGAATATTCACAAATTTTGAGACCAAACTATCTGAGACTATCATAATTATAGAAACACTATTACATTAACATTAACTAAGTGAACTACTGTGCTGCATGTATCATTGCTAAATGAAGATAAAATATTACCAATTGTTCTGCAATTGCTTAAGTTACTATCCTAATAACTGACAACCCAGCATGTATTTTCTGCCTATACCATGCATGCAGTAAATACCTTTAAGCATTGTGTCCAAATCATTTCTTTTTCTATCTGGATTACTTGTTAGGGCAGCACGAAGATCACCGATGGTCAATTGTGGCTGTGTTGCTTGCAAGTAATTAAACAACTTTTTTGTTGGACTATWGTACAGTTTGCATTCACGTATCATGTCTGGAGGAACACCAAGGKYATRTGCAAATMTTTCCCAATTATKTAMATKTTTGGACTGTTTRTCCATGCATTTTGAAAATTCATCAAGTGCATCAACTTTGTCATWAAGGTCTTTGATGAAATACGTTCTTGGAGTACCTAAGGAGCAATAGAATTCTTTTTCTATTTTTAAAAGAATTTATTAGCAGATAACAAAACCAAGCAGGGGACTGGAACCTTACAAAACAAAATATTTCACAAGTGAAATATTATAGAAGTTAGCTACTTTTAATTTGAGCAAGTTTGCAAACCAAATTTTTATTTTATTTTTGAAAATTTCTAACATTCAAACATGTGTTCAAAGAATGCATGTTCGGCTTAATATTTAGTTTGACACTGGCAATACATTGTAAAAATATTAGAATTTGATTTTTTTCATTCTGAAACAAGTAATAGATAAAGTTTGCAAACTGACATTTTAAATTCACTTCCATGCGTGGTTCTGAAAATATATTAWATTAAATTATTAATTATAAATTATCGAAAATTAACTTACTTTGGTGTGACTATCGATTTTATCGATTATATCGAATTTACAAACAA